TTAAAATGGGAAGGGACAAGTAGGGTGAAGCAAGACCAACCAGCCGATCATGAGGCACACACAGGCCTCAAATTACCCTGCAGGCCCCCCTTTGTAGTCCACAGTAATCAATGAAACTAGTCACACTGATCAGTTGACGTGACTTGGTCATTTTTATGGCCTGTATTAACTTGTTCTATAGTTTTTACTAGATGTAGCTACCTATAATGTAAATTTGACCACAGCTACAGTAGGCATACGGCTAGACTGGGTAGGTACTTCTTTGCCGAAGAGCCTACATAAAACATTTTCAGTGCAATATACTTGATCACTTCTCTTCAAAATACAGCACACTATTTCATTTCATAATTTCTGGATACCTGCAGCAGTATGGCTGCCACTAATGATTATTTTCACTGTTGATTAATCTGAAGATTATTTTCTCGATTAATCGATTGGTTGTTTGGTCTATAAAATGTTTTTTTAAAAAAAAGGTGAAAAATGTTTATCAGTGTTTCCCAAAGCCTGAAATGACATCCTCAAAAGGTTTTGTTTTGACCACAACCCAAATATATTCAGTTTACTGTCACAGAGAAGTAAAGAAACAAGAAAATATTCACATGAAATAAGCTGTAACCTGAGAATTTTTTACTTTTTTTAATTCCTTAAACAAATTAACTGATTATAAAATAGTTTTATCGATTTAGTGTTGCAGCTCTATACTTGCATACGTTTATAAGAACCACTGTCTTTAGAATAATGGGATCACATGAACTAAACACTGTCAGCCTTTAAAGCTTATTGCTGTTACAGATGCAGCACTGTCATCATCAAACGCCTCAGGCACTACAGCCAGGAGCCCTTTCCAGCTCTACAAGCCTCACCAAATTAGATTATGTATATAAAATATAAAATTAAAGCACACAATCTCTGTGGCTTGGCGAGATGAGTCAAAAATACATTATCACGGCATTATTGAGAAGCACAATTCAGCTAAGTGTTGGCTGAATTTTAAGCTGACAGGCAGAGCAACTGCTCACTTTAACTGCACTTCTAGGTGGGTGTAACCAACCAAAATGTAGTCCTATAATCTTCATATTATAGGCTTCAGCACCATGCAACCCTGAACAGGATAATAGGGTGTGAAAAAAGATGTATTTATCTTCATATTGCCCTAAAAGTTGTGACAAAACTTAAAAAGGGAGTTTCATCCGACAACTGCGTTCGGCCTGCGGAATAAACACAGTTCACTTTGTGTGATTAAGCTACAGGCAAGACGATGCAAAACCATATTGACATGCATGACAAGATCAAGAACAGAAAAAAACTTTGCGGCTAACCGACTTCAAACTCATATTTTTAGATGAGCAGAAAAGATAAAGGACAAGTGAGGGCCTCTGGCTTACTCAAGCATCAAGAGTGAGACTTTTAAAACTGGCAAAATTACTTATAGAGAACTTAGCATTGTTATACTTTCACACAAACCTACATCAGTTCCATTAAGCCTAAAGTAAAACAGAAGTATCTTATCATCAGAGGTGCAGCATGTGTGCCATTGGTTGAAACTAAGCAAAGTAAAACAGCCCACAGTGGAAATGTACTTACAGAACAAAACACTTGGTTACACAAAAACAGCAGCCAGTTAAGGGAACCCACATTGCTCACATTCCTGTGCCTTATTATCTGCATGCCCCTTGGTACTTTAACACAACTAATCACCTGAGAACCCAGGCTGCCTTCGCACCTGAGCACATTGTTTTATTAGCAAGTGATTTGTTGTTGTTGCACTGACTCAGAATTTAATAAAACAAATATTCAACTTACTGATGTTGCTTTTATTGTTGTTGCTGCTTTTATCAGAATAATAACTAACACCCGGAAATCAATACCACGCAACACTGTTTCAATGGAGCAGTTTTGGGTCACTATATGTAACATTACACCCACACTGTAGCCGATCACAAAGATGGTCGATGTATAGCAGTAGCCCACCTATAGGCTATGGAGACACACAATCCCCTTCATCGACAGAATTTAAACCTGAAAGTAATCCGTCTCTACATTGTAACGAGTATACATGCAAGTCAATCCCGTTAAACCATTTTTTAATTAGCCGTGACTAAGACCACGGTGGCTTAACCTACATATAAACAATGCAGGTTACACTACAGGTACCGGCTGTAACATCTATATGATTGTCAGGATGATTGCGCAAAATACGGTGCGTAAAATACGCTGAATTAGTCTCGTGTTGTGCAAATTTGACAAAAAGGAAAGTCGGTGTTTTGGTTACATGAGAGAGATCGATTTAAATGAACCCTTCATCTCATTACAGTTCATTTAGGAAAACGATTCATTGAACATATTGGATGATAAAAGCGGATAAAACGCGGTAAAGTGTGGAAACATTTCTGCGAAGTGCAGCAACGAGCCGTTTGTGGATCCTTTCTGTCGCCTAATGGGCTTTGCCAGCCTGGTGAATATTTGGTACACACTCGTCCCGCGGGGGCATCTCTCACAAGCCCACGACGCCAAAATAAACGCCACAAATATTTGCAAATCATTTATTTTGCGGTTTCGAGCAGCAGCCGCGATAAGCTCGAGCAAATAATGTGGGATTTCTCGGCTTGCCAAGCAGGTTGGTAGAGCCAGAATAGGCACCAGCGGAGCCCCTTTTTGTTGGCACGCCGTGGAAAAAAACACCACCGTAACACCGAAAACCCTTATGATCCTTGCAGCAGCTGCGAGAAAAACCATCCGATCCAAACAGACGCGAAAGCGGCCCCGTTGCGCGTTTACAATCCACCACAAAGAGAAATAATTTCTTTTAAATACCTTATTACATCGGTAGGATCGTTCTCAAGCGTTCTTTACCATCCTCTTGCTCATCTCACAGCCTTCGGGACGCCATGTTGCAAGCTTATGACGTTAGGCTTCCTCACCCCTGACCCACATTTGAATAGAAACCAGCCCAGAGTGCAGCAGAGAAAACACCCAACTGTGGGAGGGTTTGGCCACTTTCTCAGCCCAGGACCCCTGGCAACTTTACCTGCAAGATGGCAGGGAGAGAGAAAGACAGAGGGAGGGATATGTACACACTGTGGTTTAGGCCTTCTTCTACCAGCAGCAGCAGCAGCAGCAGTAGCAGCTCGGCTCAGCCATGGTCCTATACTGCTGAATGCAGGTCCACGCTGCAAAAAATGTCTCGCTTAGGAAGTCATTTTTACGTATTGATAAGACCTGCTTCTCTTATTTAAAAAGAATAATGAAACAAAACATATATTTTATGAGAGGGTGTGAGCGAAACCAGCACGTTTCGGGTGCAGTTTCACCGAGATGCATTAAAACTATCAGTTTGAAACAAAGTGGTAACCTTCTTTTTCATGATAGAAAATGCTTTAATCAAGTTTGTGCGGCAGGAAAATAAAAGTATCCTGTTTGCTATCACTGGGTTTAAATATAAAAAGATCGTTGCATGGATGCAGGATACGTTATGTGACATTTTTTGCAGTGTAGACTATGTTTCTCTGCAACCTCAAGAGTCTTCTCTTGTAGACATGCAGTTTAATTATGCAATGTATTTAATGCGCCTATTTTAAATCACCAGAGGAAACTGCATCAACACTGTTTATCCTGGAACCAGTTTATCAGATGGATTGAAACTATTAACCGCCATTTGACGCTTCGATCCAAAGCCATACCACAGCCCAGGATGATTGATGACCAGATGATTTACAGGTATCAGTAGAGAGAAAGAGAGAGGGAGCCGGTTATGGTTCAAAAATTGGGCACCAGATGTGCAGGAGTGTGACGATCTGTTGGCTCCTCCTCTTAGCCCAGAGGACCCACACACCAGCCCTGAGCCAATAGAAAACAGGATACATGATGGGTTTCACCTACATGCCATTTATTGGACCCCTGTGAGTGAGATTACTGTGATGATGCCACCTCGCTGCAGCTACTAATGAATATCCCTGCCCATCCTACAAGGTGCTGAGGAGACACAGATTGATCCAGATAGTGTATGAGTTTAATCTTTCGTGCTTTATGTTTATGGTTCACATTCCCCGTTGGATATCCAAGTTATGGCTCCGTGCCAAAGTGCTCTTCTGACACGCTGTGGTTGTCGTGGAAAGTGCATCCTCTGCAGGGAAGCTCCGCACACTGTGTGTTGCATAATCACGGCGCTCAGACGCACTGGATGTGTTTCTCTGTGTTATTAACTCTCCCTATAGCTGAGGATCCTTGACACTGACAAAGACAAACATGTGATAAACCATACAGGGGTATGTCATGTACCAGATGTTTAATAGCACATATAGTGGAGGCTTATCAGGACAAATAATAAAGGGTGCGACACACTTTGTCCTCTGCGTAATTCACATTTAATTGTTTCCAACAAGGAAGGGAATGAATGGAAAAAACATCAACATACCTGCAAAGACCTTTAATTTGTTATTAATTGAAAATTTGTAGTATAAAATAATAAGCAAACACGTCATTGGATATGTGTTCATTTACAGTACTTTACATCCAAGACCTGGATTAATTCACAGCAATCTGACAACAACTATGGAAATAATGTGTAAAAACAATCGTGCGTTCATTAGGAAGCATTTCCACAATCTTCCAAGAATTCTGAGCTTTTCCTCGATGTTTGAAATCATTACCAGTCTTTGATTAGTTTGGTTATGTTGGCATTGATTTAAAACAACATTAACGCTGACACCCATTCAGCTTTAAAATTAAGCAGAAGGGAGTGGGTGTGTATGTGGACAGCAAGAATTTGAAGCAACATCCAACAAAAAAACATATAAAAACACATAAAACATATATGGTTGACTGTACACCTGCAGTGTAACCGTGAAGAGTGAGCTGCAGTTTATTGTGAGAAGTGGAGACATGATAACATGATTACTGACAAAATATGTATGCTTTCTGCAGCATCTAAGTGTTCTGATGTGATCAAACGACTGCGTAAAATCTCTGCAAACCGTCATGTAAGGCATCTTTGGATAACACTAAGGATTGAACGTCAAACATCTCTCTCTGAACCTCCTCCTGCAGCAGGGTCTCCACACTGTGGTGAGCAGCCTCGCTCTGAGCCCGGTGCACCCTCTGATGTACAGCACGGGGGTCAGGGCAGCATTAACTCTGGGCAAGATGCGAATAGGGTCAGTGCCTTCATTTTTAAAGGTATAACAGGTCGAGCGAAATAAATTACAGGCCATAACATGACAGAATATGGGAAGCCACGTCGCTAGGAAAAACACAGCCACCACCAGGATGAGATACACCGATGAGCGCTTGTTGTCTCTCTCCTCAGAGGGTGGTTCCCTCTCCAGCTGGAACCTGGCTATGATGAACAGTCTGATATTCAGCCCTATCATTATAATCACTGTTAATATGTTCCCCACAAATGTCCCCAAGCTCGTGATGGTCCTGGCTACCCCGATGGTGACCAGGTTGTGCGCAGCCACGATGAGGAAAGCATACACCCAGTAGGCAAAGATGACCAGCACGGTCCTGTTTCGGGTCATGCGCTGGGAGTATTTAAAAGGTGCCACCACGGCGTGGTACCTGTCAGCCTGTGCGGCTAGGATGGCCATGTAAGACAGCCCTAGGAAAGTGTGCACGATGTAAAAGGTTCTCGTAGGAGAATCAAAGCTGTCTCTCACGTCGAGGACACCAGAGTAGTAATACGACACGCCGGTGCAGATGTCACTGAAGCAGGTGCTGAGCATGTACATGAAGCGGTTCTCGCTGCGCATTGCCTTGTCCAGCAGAATGGAGAGTGACACAGACACGTTGAGGAAAATGATAGTTGCAGGCAGGAGGATGTTGAAAAGAAACATCAACACGTTGCCAAAGCTTGTGAGGGGCAGTACAAGAGACAGACCCTGGCTGCTGTTACTCATCGAAGCAGAGAAAATGCAACACAGTGTTCAGGTCTTCATTGCACAGCAGAGACTGGGAGCAGTGCAGCTGTGAGACTGCACAGCTGAGGGGGTTACCTCTGCTCTTATTTATGTAGGAGGGAACCACCTGGGTGACATTAATGACCATGGACAAGAAGTCAACAAGCTCCTGATAGGAACATACACAGGTCAACAAGTTGTGCAAATATTAGTATAATTTGGCTATTTTTACCCTCAGTGCAGAGATTTATTAATTTCAAGTTAACAAGACTTGTACTTTGTATATAAAACAGAAATGTCTCCATCTGGATCTTACAGCAACAAGACAGGCCCTTTAGCATGTGCAATAACCCAATCTACACTGGACAAAAATGTAAACATTTATTTTTGCTCCAGTTGTTCACAGGTTGAAATGAATGATCTAAGACTTTTTTCGTGCACCCAGTAGATATATTCCTCTCAAATTAGGGTCGCAAATTTGTTATTATTCGTGGTATCTCAGTTGCAGTAACAAAAGAACTAAAATATAAATACAACACTTTTGTTTTTGCTCCCAGTTTTCAAATGTTGAAGTTAAAATATCTAAGACTTTTTCATGCACTCTATTTCTCTCAAATTTTGGTAGAAAATTGTATGAGTTGTGTTAGTGAGCCATCCACCTGACAGGTGTGGCCTATCAGGATGCTGATTAAGCAGCATCATTACTACACAGGTGTGCCTTGGGATGGTCACAATTAAATGTGTAGTTTGATCACACGACATAAGTTTTAAGTGAGTGTGCACTGGCATGCTGACTGCAGGAAATGTGCAGAGCTGTAGACCATGAATTGAATATTCATTTCATAAGTATAAGCCATAACCAATGATGTCTCCATCAGTTTGGCAGAATATCAAACCAGCAACACAACTGCAGACCACATGGTCACACCAGCTCAGCTGTCTGAGAGAAGCTCATCAGCATGCTCATCATCTTCACCAGGGTCTGACTTGACCTGACAGCAGGTTGTCATCATATAACGTTACAACTTGGGTGATTTTGTGGCCAGTTGGATGTTCTGCTGAATTCAGGGAAACACTGGAGATGGCTAATGGTTGTGAAATAAGATGATTACAAGATAATCTTGTGGTGAAGCCACTGGATGTGGAGGTCCGGAGCTGGAGCAGCTACATGTGCTCTGTAGTTGTGAGGCTGGTTGATTGCACTGCCAAATTAAGGGAAACAACACTGGAGATGGCTTATGCTCATGAAATGTACATTCAGTTCACGGGCAACGGCTCTGGTGGACATTACAGCCAGTATGCCAATGCACACAGACACCTGTGACACTGTGTACTGGGATAAAACTACACATTTTATTGTGGCCTTTTAGTGTGACTGTCCCAAGGCTCACCTGTGAAGTAATGATGCTGCTTTATCAGCATCTTGATATGCCACACCTGTCAGGTGGATGGATTGTCTGTGTGCATGAAAAAGTCTTAGATTTTTTAACTTAAACCTGTCAAAACTGGGAGCAAAACCAAAAGTGTTGTGATTGTATTTTTGTTCAGTATATTTAGCTTTGCTTTTTACTCAGAATATCTTACTGCAACTAAGATACCATTTTATTATGAATCACCTTGTAGAATCTCTTGCTACACGTATGCATTACTTTGTACTTCTGTTTAAGTTAACTGACCTCTTTCAAATTATTTATCTAATCACATAATTCTCATTATATGGTTTTCTTTTAATATAAGCACTTTGACTTTATGGAATGTGTATGAGAACTGTCAGAAACATTTGTAAGGCATCATCCTCTGCAACTGTTTAAATCTTAGGACACAAGACAGAAGAAAAAGCAACAACCTGCTGTGATCTGTAAACTATTTTGTGCAGTGGTTTCTACAGCTGGGGCTCCAGAAGTAAGGGTTGATTTGTTACTTCCAAGTCACAAAAGAACAATAAAAACCATCAGTTTACACTTTTATCTGAATACTTAAACATTAACAGTGATTCTAGTAACACTTTAGCCAATGCAGATGCCAAGTGTGCCAAACTGAATGCATGTTCTTTGCTCTTACACTCAGTTTATATTATATAACATATTTTTTGCTAAACTTTAAACACTGGTCTCTGGTCAGATTCACAAAGGAAGAGAGATTTAGCCAGATTTCATTTCTTTTTCTTAAAAAAAATGTTTTTGTTTCTTCCAAAGTTTCACAAAATTAGCTCATAGTTTCAAAGATAATGCCCATAAGCAACCAGAGAAACTGTAATAAGAGGACTGTCCTTTACTCTGCTCTCACCTAACCTGTCTGTACTGAGCTTGTCTAATAGTTGCACAAACCCTCTCTAGTAGGGCTTTAGGATGAATGCATCTCTATCACTGCTCTATTGCCAGGCTATGTGTTTTTATTCTGACTGTATGTTTGTAATTGATAGTGCTTAAAGAGAAACCTTCAGTGAACACACAGCGGATAATAATGATGATTTTCACTGTGAGGGCCAGTTTATGAGCGAAACCTACATTCAATGGGATTTAATACAGTGTATATAAACAGAGGTGGAATTCAAATGTAAGAAGAAACAACAACTTATTTTTGTCTTTTTTATATTTATTTTATTTTATTCTATTCCATAACCTTAAGTGATTTCATTTAGCAGCATAGAGAGGACTTTTGGCCTTATAATGAAAGAAATGTGTTATTGCTCCCTCTAGTGGTTGAAAAACGCATTGACTTTAGTCAGATATTGTCGGGTGAAAGTTTTTACAGATAAAATGATTCAATGACCTACAAGCGGGCTAAATTTAATGTAATAAAAGCATTAAAAATGTGGTATAATTAAATGACAATCTAATGAAGAGGCCCTCGAGCGAATGACGCTTATTTATTTGGATTATTTTAATTAAACTTTTTACAAATTGTACCTGGAATAAAAGAAAAAACTGTGTCTGTTATCTGGCATGTGTTTGAGTCTTTCAGTTATAAGCCATGAGTGTTGGTTTTATGTATCTTTTTGAAACAAGCACTTCATTATCACGCAGGGTAATTTGGATGATATATGTAGACCCTGTGCATCTATGATCATTGTCTACAATAGTGAATAACTGGAAATAGGGTTACAGGTGGCAAACCAGACATGTATGAGAACAGAAACATCCTCCATTTCAACAGTGCCGTACAAAAAAGAGAAGGCCTAAAAGGACACAGACAATCCTGCAGAGTCAAGCAAAGAAGCCAAAACATCTCATTACACAGATGCTATTATGCATAGCCAGTTGAAGTGCAGCACGTTTATTATTTTTGTTAAAGAATTTTATAAGCTGATTGAGTTTTTACTTGGTAGAGGAGGTAGTAACTGGGAAAATGAAGGAGCAAAAGTGATAAAAATCTGATAGGAGTCAAAGGTCATCCTGAAGCATAGACCTCAGATTTCAAGTTGAAGTGACAAAGTGTTTCGGAAACCACAGGACGCAGAAACAGGTGCATGTGTTGCCATCACCAACCAAACACTCCTGGGACTAATCATGATTAGGCCTCTTTCCATACGTCTGACATGTCCTATCTGTTGACATGTCACCTGTTTATGCTGAAGCCTCTGCCCTTTAGAGATTAGGACGTCTGCTTAAATTCTGAGCACCACTCATCTCCTCTTCTGGCGGAGCTCCAGGATGCTCCTTAACGCCACAGTCCCTCTGTCTGTGGATTTCGACACTCCGGAGGACTTCCTCATCTTCATCTTCCATATCCTGTTCGCCACAAGCGCAGTACTGGTCGCCGGCTCGGTGGTCGTCGGGATATCCTCCACCCGGTCTCTGCGAGGCCAGAACCGGTTCATATTCATGCTCAACACGAGCATCAGCGACACCCTGACCGGCTTCTCGGTCTACTACCTCGGCCTCTTCGACGTCCAAGAGGGGTATCCATCTAGAAATGGGACATATTATATTTTACCCTCATTTCTAGGTGTCAATGTGTTAACCTTCCTGTTCGCTCAGTTTGACCGCTACTTCGCTGTGTGTCATCCTTTCTTTTACAACCGATACATAACCAGATACTTTGTGATTGGGATTTGCGCATTTTGTTGGATTTACACATACACTATCCTCACCGTGCAGAACATGGTGCCTATTTCAAAGGCGGCTCAAATAAACGCGTTTGGTGTGATGACCTTACAAATTATAGTGCTCATTAAAGTGCTGATGACAATTCAGTTATACATCATAGCCCGGAGCCACCTGGTGAGAGAGGCGCCCAGTGCGGAGAGAGACAACAAGAAAGAGTCGCTGCGCATCATTGTGTTTGTGGTTATCTGCTTCTTGGCTCTGTGGGTGCCGTCCTTTGTTAATATAATTGTCAGACAGCTGACGAGGAAAGGTTTGAGGTTTAGGAATGAAGCCACTAATTTGTTCGCCACCATGGCGCGTCTGAACGCACTGGTGACCCCGGCTCTGTACATCTGGGGCAGCCCGGCGCTGCGGGAGGCCGTGTGGAGAGTTGTGTGGCGCAGGATCTGCCCCTGCAGGAGGGCCAGGTGAGACACGGAGATTTAAATGTCACCATTTAGTTGCGTTGTGTGCTTGTTTTGAGTCAATGCTGTGTGTTAATATGAAATCTTAGGCTATGTAAGACACGTACTTTAACTCTCTCTCTCTCTCTCTCTCTGCACCTTCTCTGTCTTTTTCAGAATTGGCTATAACTTCAATGGAGTGGCAAACAAAATGAAGCATCAGACAGCATCTGCATCATCGTAAGGTATCATATGGAGAATTGACTAAATGACCTAAATGGCTGACATGAAAATGGCACGTGTTTCAATCACTTTTGAATGAATGTGAGTTCTCAATCATCATGTTTTATAAGTTAAATGACTGTAATAAAACGCACTTGGCAGATTGGACAATTGGATTCAGATGTGATATTAAACGTGAAATTCGGACTGTGTTTGGGATCAGAGGATGGCAGTGTGTGTAACTGCAGCATATATAGAGGACAGTCCATTACAGTTTGGGGCTTAGCCACTAATTCTGTTTTTTCTCATTTTCATTTCCACATGTAACACACCTGCCATATGTGTCGATACCGCTTTTAAGAGATTAAAATAAAACATGTGAATAACCTTTTTTGTACCAGCTGCCTCATGTTGCTCATTTTGAACTTTGAATATGAATCGTGTGTTCTTACTTTGTGGAAATTTTGTCTTTATCCAAGTGCCAACAGTGCAGGTTTTATGAGCATATTATAGTGTCTTATTATCGTGTCTTACTTTTCTTTAAAGCCGCATTTTCAAAGTTCTGATGCTTTCCGTAAAGCTACTGTTGAAATAAACATGGGATGCCATGACACAATATTAACATTTGGGGTTAATTTCCCACAGTTTATGCAGCAGATTTCAGATTTTTAAATTTCTCAACACGTCCTCAAATTGATACCGTTTCTGTTGTTATGCTGTTCAGTGAGTGCGTTTGCACTAACAACTGCGATATTCAGCATACAATAAACCTATAAGAAAAAGGATTTTTACTGTTAACTTCCAGATAGTGTGTTCTCGCTTTGTGGAGCTCTCTGAATTACAACAAACAACGCAAATGTAGATATGACTGTTGTGAAATAATATGTTCAGTTGTGATAAAGGCTCCAGACCTACAAGCATGTCTCTGTTTCCCTGTAGCTCAGGTGGATCACTAGTATGTTCTTCAGGTGTGTCACCACCACCACTGTCCAGGGTGCTGATCCTAAGATCCGGGAGCTGTTCGGTTCACTTGCTTGCATTGAAAGTTGTAAAGTTTTGTTGTTGTATTGCGATGTATGGTATCATTTAGATATTTGTCTTTATTGTATCAAGCTGCTGTCTCACACTTTTAACTTGAATTTGCCGCAGTTGGGCCATAATGCCCACTGAAGCTCGAGCTGTGACATCACAGTTTAGTCCTTTATTTGAAGTTTCCGAGCAAGTATGACTTTATCTTTTTCTGTCTTGGAGAAATAATGAACACAAGAGCCTGTATCAAACACAGTATTTGTGACATTACTATTTTGTCTACTAATTTAATGGACATTTATCTCTGTATGTTGACCTTGAAAGGGAGGGGAGGTGTGGGAAATGTCACCTGTAACTACATCTTTTCCTCTGAATGGAAAAATCATGTGGCTGTTCATCAGAAATGAACAGCCACACCGACAGTACTATTTTCATAAGAACACAACACGCAAAAATAAATTAGTTAAACTCGTACATTGGACAGCTCTAGTACCGCTGACAGCCGCATATTCAGGACCTTGGTCAGCTCCATGTTGTTATTAACAATTGTAAAAGCGATACACTCCACGAGATGGACGGGCCATGGTGGGTGTGGTGGTTGGAGGCTCAGCTTCATCAGTACAAAAGATCACTTAACTTCGGATGGGGTTCTTCCTGTTGTTTGAAATAAAAAGTAAAAAAGTCAGCATGAACTTGATCACAGGGGGAAAGGGCCACTCCTCCTACACGCACCCCATCCCCTAACATCACAATGGAAAATTTCTGTGACAAAAAAAAAACAGGAGTGCGTCTCTATTTTTGTCTCAGTCCAGGTTGGGCTGCTTCACTGTGCACTCCCATCATGCTCAACATAACGCTCATCCCTCTGTGTGTTGACTTTGATAGTCCAGGGGACTATTTTCTCTTCATGTTTCACATCCTGGCCGGGGCTTGCACCGTGATAGTGGCTGGCTCTGTTGCATGTGGGATCATTAAGACCCGGGCACTTTTAAGACAGAATCGGTTTATATTCATGCTGAACACAAGTATCTGTGACACAATGACCGGCTGTGGTATTTTCTATCAGTTTCTCTTCGATGTGCGAGTTGGCTTCCCCTCTAAAAACGGGACTTATTACATCCTGCCTTCGCTTCTTGGAGTTAATATCATGACGTTTCTATTCGCCCAGTTTGACCGATATTTCGCCGTGTGCCATCCCTTCTTCTACGGTCGTTTCATCACCACAAGAGTGGTTATATGTGTCAATGTGTACAGCTGGGTGCATGTTTATTCTCAGCTGCTCCTGCAGCACATGGTGCCACTTTCTAAAGCCATACAGATCGGAACCTACAGCAGGATCAGTCTGATGGTGATTATCATCACCAAAATAATCATGACCATCAAGCTGCTGGTCGTGGCGAAGCACCAGCTGCTGCGGGAGCCGCCGGGTCCTGAGAGAGACAGTAAGAAGGAGTCCTTGTTGATCATAGTGGTGGTTGTGGTGTTTTTCCTGCTGCTGTGGGGCCCGGCCATGCTCTACACGGTCCTGGCATCGCTGACAGGGAAGTATCTTGTCATTAAAAACGACGCAGTAAACCCGATGAAGATTTTATCCAGGAGCAATGCTCTGTGCACTCCGTCCCTCTATCTGTGTGCCAGCCCTTCACTCAGGAGGGCTGTGTGGGAAACGGTGTGGAGCAAAATCTGCTGCTGCTGCAAGAAACCCAAAAGGTTGGTTGGATCAATAACTGTAAGGGTAAAGTAATACTTTAATAGGAGCGTTTCATCGCGACAGGGAGTTCGTTTAAATGGCTGCATCTGCACAGCACATTGCATTTGACATTCAACATATACGTATTCAATGACCCTTTAAATGTAGAGAAAATAATTATTAATACTATGTCGGAGAGACAGAGTATGGATGTAACAATGGGATGATTGTAACACCACCACTTTCACCAAGAGGGGCTGACCTATGAGTCATGAAATTCATTAACTGTTTGAGCACAATTCCTTCCTGACTTTGCATGTAGAATTTCATAGCTGTATGAATAAGTGTGCAGATTTTACAACCCAAATACTGATTTTCAGATATGAAAGTAATTATTTTGGACCAAGACTACATTTTGATTATTACTGATACTGTTGAAATCATGTAACTTGTATAAGATTAGAGAGTAATCTCTTGGGTAAAATGTGAGGCATTTCATCTTTGCTGATTTCAAACCACCATTCTGCTCCAACAAATGGCTGACAGGGATGAGGATGGTTGTAACAGGTGAGGCAGGGAAAGACAGCGAGGAATTGCGATTTGTAGTACATAAATAAGAGTACTTTGTGTTAAAATTTTAGAGCTCTAACAAAACAATCCAGAGAGTTATAGGTGCTGAGACAAAAAGTGTTGCAGCCATACCCTGTCTCCCATCGGAATAATTGGTGGCCTTTTCCTTGTCCAGACTGGCCTGTGACACGATTTTTCGGCAAACCCTGTCACTTAGAAATTACATTTATGTGCTATTGATTTGCAATAGTGAATACTTTATGGAGAAAACGTTGTATTGTCGGGGTCAGATCTTTGCATGAACACATCTGGCAGGTGGCAAAATGTTGATGTCAGTAAATGGCAACATGTCTATTTTGTTTACTGTCCAAAATGTCCGCTATTGCAATACAACATCTGCCCGTACAAATGTATCATTAAAGGTGTGGTTTAATAAATGTTGCACTTCCATGGCTCAAAACAAAGTTGCATATTAACATACAGTAGTCCAGTTTGGCAAACATTAGGTTTTTCACTACAATGTAAATGGGAAAACTATGTGATGTTATATAAATATAATTTCTAGGAGGAGCTTTGTAAAACGGACACATCAGTAAAATGACTATTATTATCATTACACCTGTGTTTTTCTTGTTATTGAGTCTACATGCCTGCCGTAACATAGGCCTGTTATATCAGCTATATTATATATTATTATAGACGATATTTTTCATTCGAAGGGTAAAATGCTGTTTTTTCAATATATGTGGATTTATAAGGAACACCGGACCGGGCTGTAATAAAATATATTTCCTGCTACTCTTTAGTGTTGAAGAGCTCAAGATCACTTCACCTAATTTCAATATATATATACATTATTGTCTTTGACATATATACAGTACAGGCCAAAAGTTTGGACACACCTTCTCATTCAATGCGTTTTCTTTATTTTCATGACTATTTACATTGTAGATTCTCACTGAAGGCATCAAAACTATGAATGAACACATGTGGAGTTATGTACTTAACAAAAAAAGGTGAAATAACTGAAAACATGTTTTATATTCTAGTTTCTTCAAAATAGCCACCCTTTGCTCTGATTACTGCTTTGCACACTCTTGGCATTCTCTCCATGAGCTTCAAGAGGTAGTCACCTGAAATGGTTT